CCCCAAGCTTGAACTGTACAGTAGTGAGAGACCTATAGCTGTGCATGTCACTCATCATATAATCATTCCATAATCTTAAAAATGCATTGCACTAATTGACCTATAACATTATGACGTCACAGCTTGTTTACATGGGCAAGAATGATAGGAATTTAGGCAAAATTTTCTTTCGTTCGAGATATTTAGTACAAAATTTATCCGTTATCACCTTTTCCCGTCTAATTAACCATTTTTTATTTTGATTTAATTTGTTTTGCTGCTATTTTGCCCCCTCTGGCGCCATGATCCTTAGCGTTAAAACAATAGATTGTTTTGGTGTGACGTCATAGTTTTATAGGGCAATTAATGGTTTATTGAGTCAACCAACAGCATTTAAATTAACTTGTACAGGAAATGGTGATGGACAAAGAAGGCGAGAAGACTCATCCCAGATATTTAGCCTATGATATTATCAAATTCCAGGTAATTTTGTTATCAATTTATTTTGAGAGGCAAAGCCAACTCAACTGACGTCAGAAATACATTATGCATTTTTGATTTAGAAGCTCTTTGTACATCCTTTTGAGGGATCTGTTGTGGTGGATTGAATTGAATTGAATAGCGCAGCGCRCTGATTCTAAAAATAGCTTAAAGATTCGGACAAACATTGCATTCTGTTTAACTTCTACGAGGATTATACGAACCGATTTTTTAATTTTTACTTAAAGTTACAATGATAACCCATGTAAACTAAGATCAACTGTGATCGGCTGTGAAAGTTATCTGCTGAAAGTAAACTTGTAAGTTTGTTTGTCCGAATTTCGCCTTTGTCTTTGTTTTTATGACGTCACGGCTGCGCTGCGCTATTGAATGAACTTTATTTCAAGAGGGTAACACACGACAGTTATAATTAACAAAAAAATCAAACTCATAACCCAGTGGTCCTCAAAAAAGAATATAATAAAAAAATAAATAATATGTAAAAAAATGAATAAATAAAATAAGATAGATAAATAATAATAATAAATAATTATATAAAAGTGGATTTGTTGCAGGGTCAGGATGTTGGGAAAACTTGTCATGATACCAGGATGTTGTGTATTCATAAAGAAATTGAACAACCAAGAAATGATGCAGTAAGTTGATGCTGGTGATATGTGTTGTCAGAGATCAACATCATCATCATCAGTCCACCCATCCATTCATCCATTCACCAATATGTCCACTTATTCATCCATTCATCAACCCATCTACACTTTTGCCACCTCCATCCACCCATTCATGCATCCATCTATGAACCCTCCCATCAGACCAAACATCCATTCACCAATATGTTTACTTATTCATCCATTCATCAACCTATCCATCCATCCATCTACCCATCTACTCTGTCACTTACCTACCCATCCATCGATCCATGCATCCATGCATCCATGCATCCATCTATCAACCCTCCCATCTATCCACTTACCCACCCACCCACCTATCCATCCATTACCCTAGTGGATTTACCAATTGACTAGTTTCCTAACCTAAGGTACAGCAAGGTCTACTGGACAAGACACAAGAACCATTCAGCATACGAGCCAAGCAGTTCTTTCCAGTTGAAAAGGCAAGATGGGTGAGTAAGGTGTACATCTTAAAATATTCCAGTCATCTATTTTCGGCTCATATCACTGATTTCTATTGATCACAGGTCCTTGAACACTGGGTTACCAAATTGTCTCATGAAAACGATGGTCTAATCTTCAATCCAGCCAATGAGGTGTGTAACAAGATGATAAATAGTTTTATACCTAATGTATTGTTTTGCAACGCATACCCAGTACAACATGAGGCATTGCTGGTCTTGTATGAGTGAAAATTACAATATTTTGCTTTTTAACATTTTAACAACGATTTTCAGCAATCAGTGTCTGTTCCATGCTGTGTATCAAAAACATATTTCAGATTGTCCGATGTAGCAACAGTAACTAGGGAGGTAAAACAATGAATGCGGGATCGGTGTATTGCCCCATGTACCACACCATGTACAACCATTTTTGGCTGATGTGTGTGTGTTTTTTCCCAGTCATATATGGGAGGGAACCAATTAGATGTATTGAAATGGAAACCACATACTCTGAACTCTGTGGACTTTATGCTCCAAATTGTCAAAGACAGACGAGAAGGGTAAGTAAGGATGGATTTCTGTATAATCAGTATTTAAGTTTATAAAATGACCAACGTCTTTCAACTGCTGGAACTTTAAAACGTCAAGTCTGACGGAATGTTTTTTGGGCTTACTTTCAAGGTGCTTGATTCAAGACTGCGGTTACTTATATGTCAGTGGGTTTGAAAGACCTTTTGCACAAATAAAGGTAAGAAAAAGCATTGGAAATATTTAAGGTAGGAAATCGTTAGAGTATCAGTATTCGGCCCTATGTAGGTGTGCCCGTCTGAAACTGGATCCCAACATTTTAATTATATAAACACTATTCCAGCGTGCTGTTCCTCGAATGTCATCAATTATGATTGTGACCGTGCTGTGTGAGTTTTTTCATCTTAAACTTGCCAGACACAGACAGCCCATCGTTATTATGGGCGCAGGCACAAACCTATAAATACTTGCTGCAGTCGTCGCTTACCTTTTTCAGTCTTCTGGCGAATTTTCAGCGCGATTTGAAGCCGTAACTTCGCCAGAGGACTGAACAAGATACAAGCAAAGACTGAAGCAAGTTTTAAAGCAATTTGTTGAGTGTATATATTGAGCAGTTTGTCATATCTTCATCATAGCTCCCATACATTCCCATATACACCATACACAGGAACCTTGTATGGGCTGCCTGTGGGTGGCTCGTAATATACGGCGCATTCTTTTCAGTGGTGGCAATGTCTGCCACTTTTTAAAGGTATTTTCAGGTGTACCGGGAATTTTTACTCTCACACTAGAAGCCGACTTCCCCAGGCGCCATAACTGAGTGTGTAAAGTGGATAAAGTGCGTCTGTTTTAAAGCATTCGTGTGTCATTTGTGTAGGTGACAAGGCAGCTGAAAGTCTGGAATAAAAGAATCATTGAATGTACTTGGGATGGCAAACAGTGGGTTTTCTTGCGCGTCAGAGAGGATAAAAACTTTCCTAACGCTTACAAAACTGCAATGAGTAAGTAAAATAATGCGAGTTTTTAGTTTTTGTTTTGCCAGAAGTCCATAGTCCCTTAGTCCGACCAACTGACATTGATAGTCCGATCATTTTTTAACCCTACCAGATGACAGATTGACGCTCAACTTCCGACCATCTTATAGTCCGACCAAGTAAAGATTGGACCATCTGACAGTCAGACAAACAGACAAACCGATTTTCCAACCAGTATAAACCGACCATCAAATAGACAAGTTATTGATAGACTGAACATTCCATCACTAACTCCCAATTTTAGCTAAAGAATACCGAAAACTAGTTATTATTAACAGTCCTATTAATTTTCTTTATAGGTGTTTGTGAGAGTATTCGAGACCCTGTGACGAAAGACATGCTTCTTGAGGTCATTGAAAAACGCCGATACAACCTACACAAGGAAAACAGAAAACATGATCAAAATCATCCACAGCAACAAAAACCACAACAACAGCATTCACAACCACAACAACTACAACTACAACAACAACAACAACAACAACACGAACAAGCGCAACACACAAACCATCCAACGCAAAGCACCTTATAGAAGTACTACGCTGCTATGGTAACTGTTCTAAGGGTGCCCATCCACACAATAATCGACTACATCAAAGTCTACAAGAGCATCTCATAGAAAATAAACTTTTGTCATGGCAACAAGCACAGGAATTCGTGTTGCCATGGCAACAGCTGTCATGGAGATCAGGCAACATCACGAAGAAACATAGGACCTTCCATAGAGCAACRAAAGAACCAAAAGTGGACATGTTGCCATAGTGACCAGCAACGAAACACGTTAGACCGATTGCCATGACAACTACTATGAAAGTCGACAACTGCTATAACAGTCATAGAGATACCTTGTTGTTATGGAAACTTACTGAAACTGAATTGACGTCACCAAAAAATAGCTTGTACGTCACGAATTAGAAAAGGTACACAAACTAATAATTTATCAATTAGACGCGTAAAATACCAAAAAAAACCCACAATTTATTATAATCTTAGATAGGAAAAATGTATAAATTATAAAATGGCAATATATACACCGTTATTCTTATAGTTAAGAATATATTAAGTGGAGTATATATGAGTATATATTTTAGGATGTAATCCACTCTTTTAGCTTAGTGTTTTTGACAATAGTTGTTAGTTGTTTTGACGAACCTTTACTTGATGATGCCTGTGTATGTGGTATGGACACCTCCGTACTTGCTTCCTACAAAAACCACTGCAATACGTTCACCGACTTTAATTCACCTCCATAATACGGTCACTCGTAGTACACTAACCTCTGTAATACGACCAATCATACTAGGCGGCTGCTAACAACTCGTTTGATATTCTTTGAAGAGGTACTAACGGATTTGCAGTACGAAGACGAAGATTGGCTAACCGTGTTTAATACGGTCGCTTGTAGTACACTAACCTTTGTAATACGACCAATCATACTAGGCTGCCAACAACTCGTTTGATATTCTTTGAAAAGGTTCGACTGGACATACAGTGAAAAAGAAGATGGACTAATCGTATTTACTCCGACAATTCGTATTTATATCGTTTCAGTCATGATCCATTTAGCAAGGCTTCGTTCAATCTAAGGGGTGCTAGCGTCCCTTACGTATACAAAATACAAATACAAAAGACATGACGGCCAGATTGGATGATATAGTAGTAGATCATATTCATTTCTCAATAGATTTTTAGGCCACAATGTTTTTCTATTTTAAGTTGAAAGTATAGATATCACATCCAATAAGCGTTTACTGGGCTACCTGTTTCTTAGCCTGCGTAGCGGCTCTTGGGGAGGGAGGGGGTTGGGGCGAGGAGGCGGAGCGAAGGGGAAGGATCTCCTTTCCTTTCCCTTCGCCCCGCCTCCGCGCCCAAACCCCTTGCCCCAACCCCCCCCCCCCCCCCCCCCCCCCCCCCCCCCCCCCCCCCCCCAAAGAGCCGCTACGCAGGCTACCTGTTTCTCAACCTGCTAAACGATACGAAATCCTAGCGACTTGTTTAAAATTGTATACCTCGTTTGCCTGCTATCTAATTGCTTGTTTTTTTGTTTCCATGCCAATGTGTCTAGGGAAAAAACACTCAAGAGAGTGAAACGTAAAGCATTAGTAAAATTTGATTGGTCAAGGACGAAAGCCATTTCAGTGTCGCTGTACATGTCAAATATTAGCAAAAACAGGGATTTATTGTATATATATGTATCGATATCCTAGTATTTAATATCATGTATTTGGACAGACTGACAAAAACTCAATGTTTCTTCGAGCTTACGAAGGAAAATGCAGCTGCAAACAACCTTAGTGAATATTGATTATATAAAGTCAAAATCTAGTTTATTAAACTAAGCAAATAAAGAGCGAGAAAACGCGTATCAACCAGGCACGTTTCTGCATTCTATATAAATCCAAAATACACGACGAAAATTTTCCTTCTTCACTCGAATAGCGAGTTGTTTTTGTAATACAGACACGGTACAGTTCCAGGTGCTTTTGAATGGCTTCCCGTCAATGTTATTTGTCATTCAGTTTATCCAATCAAAACGCAGCGTTAAAAATTTCATATCTAGACTAGTTTTGGACTTCTGGCAGCGTATAATACTGGCTCTTCACTTAACTAGCTTATTCGAAATCTTCTCGAGTTGCCGCTATGACGACAACCGCTTTTCGTGTCATCTACGCTTATCTGGTATGTGACGGTTTTATCTAAAAGGAAATTTGCGGGACATTTGCGGAGATTGTAAAAAATGCACCTTTTAGATGAAAAATAAAATGAGCTTTTCAATATTGACCAAGTAGGGTCCTATAGATTTGTTTCAAAAATTAGAAGCATTTGAAACACTTCCTTTGCAATCCAGTAAATATTTATTTTTGCTGGTCAAGTTAAAAACTTTGCTATGGAATCGGCCTTTTTTTCTTTATTTCTTTCTTTAATTTTTGTGTCAGAATTAACAATTTTTCACATCTGTCGTATCTTGTTTATCTTTATTATGAATCAGCATTTCTTTTTCTATCTTTTAAACATGCAAACTTAAGATTTGTATAGCAGGACTACCTTTTTACCGAAGGTAAAAGACCTAATTGTTCTTTAGAACTTCTTACCAATACCGCTGGCGGCCATCTTGAATTTTATTGTTTCAATTTTGATTTTTCTCGCTGAAATTTGTGGCATTTCTTTTGTATTTCCAAGTTAGCCTCGCATTCAAGACAATTTTTAGAAGGGTGTATTTGCTTGTAGTTGGAACAATATGTGAAACACCAAGACTTCAAATTATTTGAAAACATAACGCCGCCACTCTGTTAACGTTTGCCCCCTTGGTATCCCATAATTCAAGATGGCCGCCGTATCAGTAAAAGGTTTATTAAAGAAAAATACTTAACCAGTTAAGTAGATGTTTTTTATTTTGCCTTTAGTCGTAGTCAGTCTAGTTGGCACAATTCACACTGTTATAATAACCTCAAGGACTTCTTAGATAGCTATTTGAGCTTGTATTTTATTAAAGTTGTAAATAAAGTCTTTTTTAAACGCAGCCGAAGGACTTTTTACTTTAATCAGGGAACGAGTGGGTGGATTTTCATTAATTATAAATAAAATAAAATATATTGGTGTGACGCACAAAAGTAGCAGGGGCCGCGGAGCAACCTATAAAGTGGGCGGGGTGGGGGGCTAAGATTGACACTATTTTAATACTTGATAGCTGAATAAAGAAATCTGTCTGTGTCTGTCTGTCTGTCTGTCAAGGGTAAAAAGTTTTTT